GCCAGCTGGCTTGTGAGAATGTCTCAGTATATACTTTGTTACTAACTAGCTCAGCAACCATGGAATGTTCTGTGAGCTTCAGATTCTTCATTTGAAAACAAGGGGATTTCAAAGAAATGAGTGTCACATCCAACCCTAAGATTAATAAATTAGGGTATTACTTCATTGGTGTATTTATTTAAAATATATTTAACTTAATATAACAGTATTTATATTTATAACTTACTTTAAAATGTAGTATTTTATGGAATGCTCATAATTCCAGATTTACATATGAGGAAATTAGTCTTACAGAAGATAAATGATTTATCTTAAAACATCCACCTAGCAAACAGTCATATTAGATCTCAAACACAGAGCATATCCCTCCTTTTCTTACTTGCTAACTGATACTGTCTCTGAGGCTGGACCAGGAGCACTTTTTACTTAGCCCTCATCCTTTAAAGAGAAAGTGCAGCCCCTTGTTCCTTCTGTTCCCCTTCCTGCTTTTACCTTGGAGTCTGGGCTGCTTTCATCCTCTTTGGGTTCCTTCTGAATTCTCCATGGTTTTCTCTTTCTCACCATCTCTTTCTATCCCCTCCTATGTCTCCCTGAGCCTCCTCCCTCTCCTGCCTTCCTCTCCAGTGTGCCAAGCTCTCTTAGTCAACATTTCTGGGTCTTCTCTTTTTGAAGATGTTGTCCACACTCTTGGGTGAATCTGTGGGTTGGTAAGGAAAGGAAGATGGCATCGGGATGTGGCTTAATGCCCAGGTGGTGGTTTCTAATCTAGTGCCATGGTTTCCAAGCCTCAGGTGAAGAACAGCCTATATTGGAATCAAATCACCAGTGTTGGGAAGAAGGTATGACTCAAAAGAGACGGTGAAAGGGGCAGGGATTTAGCTCAGTGGTTTCGCCACCTGCTGCGCAAGCGCAAGGATCCAAGTTCGATCCCCAGTACCAAAAAAAAAAAAATTCATGTAAAAGAGACTGTGAGATGAAACTTGTAATTTGTATTTTTAAAAAAGTTTCTCCAGGACGATTCTGACAAGTAGAATTGTTCATATTTTACTGTCAGGATTGTGCCCATTAGGGTCTATCCCTGAGGCTGAGCAAGAGAGTGGTCAGGTGCCCACAGGGCTACCAGGAGGGCCACTTCAGCAGAAGGCAGACATGTAGGCCATGAATGTCATTTAGTGAGTTGGGTACTTGCTCCTTTCCCATCTCAAGTGTCAGTGGTACATCTAGATCAATAGGTAGAACTCTTTGCTTCTGATACATATGGGTAAATAGAGTGATACTAAATTTTCATAGGGAGAAGATGATAAGAACATGCTAAATAAATTGCCTTAGGGGAGGCAAAAATGAAACAAAAAAAGTTGAGAAACACTGGGTTATGCAAGGATGACTGTGTCTCTGAGAATTATGCCAAGTCATCCTTGTCCTTTCATTCCACATCTCTGGGCGCGAAGACAGAAGATTCAGAGATAAGACTGGAACTCAGATGCTATAGTTCCTCTAGCTACTAATTGACAATGATTAGACTTGCCTTGACTTTCACAGTTAAGGCGATTTCTCTTTTATTTCACTCATTTGTCACTTTGCACTTAGCATTAGTGAACTGGCATCACTGGTACCTATCTATTTTGCCTCATAATTAGAGTATAAGGTATTTTATGGCAGAAACATTAACTTCATCCTTCAAACATTCAGTGAGCATTTTCAGGCATGAGCTAGAGTCAAAAAAAAAAGAAAAGAAAAGAAAAAACCCAAAGACCATAAGACACAATTCCTGACTTTAAAGACATTTTGGTAAATAGTTATGAAACTGTGTGACTAGCATAATGATAGATACATACAGTTTGCCCGGAGAAGTATCCTGTGATGCTAGGAGAAGTCAGTGCTTGAGCTGACCCTTAAAGGAGAAATGAAGAGGAATTTCCCAGATAAACAATAGGTAGGGGACAGGAAGACCATTCCAGGGTGAACTGGAAATGAGACCAGGCCAAAGGATGAGGGTCCTTGAAGCTTATTCTAAGGGCATGGATCTTACCTGTGAAGCAATGAGATGCTGCTGGAGAATTTAAATTAGCCAGTGGCACAATTAGCTCGCTCTTCTCAGAGCTCTCCTGGATGAAATGTGGACAGGAACAGAGGAGGCTGGAACCTTGTTGAGAGATGTCTCAGTAGTGCAGAGTTGGTGATGCCTGGACAAGGAAAGTAGGTGGGGGTAAAGTAGAAGGAACCAACTGGAAAGTTCATTTGGGAAAGACAATCCAGAGAACCTGTTCATTTAAGGGTTGTGAGTGTGAGTGAAAATTAATACCATCATCACTGTGAGGGAAGATTTGCCACCATGTGTTAAAACATAAAAGGGAATAGTCTATGCTATAGTTTGGATTTGGAATACTTCCCAAAGCCCCGCTTGTCCTCATTAGGGTACTACTGGAAGGTGGTGAAAACTTTAAGAGGTGAGGTCCAATGAAAGGTCTTAGATCACTGTGGAGTTGCCCTCCAAGGGACTGAGAATTTTGATCTCTTCCCCTCTCTCTTTCTTACTCTTCTTGGTCATGAAATAAGGGGTTTTGCCTGACCTGTGCTACTGCCATGATGTGCTGCCTCTCAATCTTCCACAGAGACCAAAAAGCCATGGGTCCACCTGATCATGTACTAGAAACTCCAAAATTGTGAGTCAGAATAGACCTTTTCTGTTTACAAGTTGTTTATCTCAGGTATTTTAAATTTTTTAATTTTTGGTACTGGGGATCGAACTCGGGACTTTGCGCTTGTGAGGCAGGCGGTGGAACCACTGAGCTAAATCCCCAGCCCTTTCAGGTATTTTTTATAGTAATGAAAACTGACTAACATAATCTATGACCCATCTATGGCTATCTACCCTAAGGAGAAAATTACTTACCACAGTTCATTAAGAACATACAAAAAACCCAACTAGAATAACATGTTTATCAATAAAAAACTGGAGAACCAATACAATAAAATTTTTAAAAAAGAAAAAACATTTAAAAATGAGAAGCACTTCTGTACAACAGCTCATTATATGACTGGGAAGAAATGCCTGTTGTAGAATGACTCATACGCTAAGAGAAAAAAACTCATCTTGGTATCTGAGGGCGCTCCGTTAGTTGTCTCTCGCCTTTTCACCTCGTAGATTCGTTAACTATCCAGTCTCTCTCACCTACATAGTGCTACTTAGTTTCCTTATTTCTTTAAAAATTTTTAGTATTGGGTAAATATGAAATAGCATTTATAGAATATATATAAACCATATAATTTTGATGTAGTCAACACTCTTGTGTTCACCACTAACTCTAAGAACAGAAAAACATTGTCATTCTTTTCAACGTTCTTTTTGTCCCTCTCAAGTCTCTTATTCTTCCCTTCTTCAAGGTGAATATTTTCCTGAATTTTGATTATAGTTTCACATACTTTTCGTGTTTAGTTTTGTGTGTTTTTGAACTTTATATATGGAATCATATAGAAGGTACAAAAGAAACACAAACATATCTAAAAGGAGATAATTTTTCTTCATGGATAATATTATTTAAAATCTAGAATAATATTAGTGTAGCCAATTAGTATGATCAACACAAAAATTATAGTTTCTTATATCAATAATAATTGTAAAAAAAAAGAAGATTCACTCATAGTAACAACAAAAGTTAATTTACCAACAAATAAACCAAAATGCAAATCTACATGTTTCACGTGGAACAAAATTTGAAATATCCCTTGTATTTGGTTGGCTGTCATAAAGGTAATATGACCATTCAATCCTAAATAAATTTGTATTTCCTGAGGCTAAATATTTGATGGCAAATTCACACTAAGTTACTAGCTTAATGTGCACTCTTTCTCACCAGCACATGTGCTTTTTTTCTTTTTTTTTTTTTTTTGCTGTACCAGGGATCAAACTCAGGACCTCGAGCTTGCAAGGCAGGCAGTGTGCCACTGAGCTAAATCCCTGGCCCAGCACATTTGAAATTTCAGGTATTCCAATGGTGTCTCACACATAGGACACATTACCTGCATAAGAATTACCTGGAGGTATTTGTTGAAACACTTGCTACAAAACACTACCAAATCAATACTTCTGGGTAGATCCTATTCACCTGGGTTTTTATTTGGAAAAACTCTGCGTCAGCCCAAAGGAAGGAATCTCACATGGTGGCATCCCAGTTTTTTTTGATGATCAGAAGAGATTTCTTAGGAGTGAAAACTTTTCTGGCAACTCTCAGGCCACATCAGGATCATTATGGACTCCATTTGTTTACTTGGGGCCCTTAAGATGATCTCTACCTAGTTAGAGGACTGCATTTGTATCTGGCGCTTGTATAAGGTTATGTGTAAGGAGTCTTAAGGGACATACCCTACACTGTATCCCTTCATGCTTTTCACTTCCTTGTGTTTTGTGAGTTTGGAGCTGTCACAATCAGAAGTTTGTATTCCCCAAAATTCTTGTGTTGGAATCCTCACTCCAAAATTGATGATATCAGGAGGTGAGAACAGTGAAAAAATGCCATGTATGAGAAAGCAAGCCCTCACCAGACATGGAATTGCTGGCATCTTGATGTTAGACTTCCAGCTTCCAGAAAGATGAGAAATTCTACTGTTCATTAGCCACTAATTTGTGGTATTTTGTTACTGGCATTATTTAGGGTATTTTGTAGTCTGAACAGACAAAGACAGGAAGGAAAGAAGGGTTGAGAGTGGGTAGAGAGACAAGGGGGCCCTATAGCATAGGATCTGAGAATGGTATGCTTATTTTATTGTCAATGGTTAGCTGGTTATGATGAAGCAGAGCAGAAGACTAGAACGGAAACCATGACACCCACCCCACCATAAGTTTGGGCTTCTTCCAAAACCATTTTACTCCCATATGCGGATGCAGTAGGCTGGGTGGAGGATATACGTAAGCTGCAGGAGGCTTTCTCCACGCTCTAGAGCCTGAGTGGCCGTTCCTGAACTTTTTGCTTCTGCCTGTGATTTCGTCTACCTTCAGCTCCATGGGAGGCTTTGAAGGTCATCTGTACCCAGGGCTGTGTTTTTTCTTCTGTGGACTTTATAATGCACGACTAGTCTCTAGGGCTTTGATATGCAACTCCGTTGTCCAATATCCACCATGCCATCCTTGGAACAAAGGAAGATGGGCATGGCTACAGCAAATACACTGTGTTGGCTTACTGAAGATATTGAACGCCTGCATTTTAGTAGCTCAAGAGTTCTATAACATTCCTGGACAGTTAGTACTTATCAGCAAGATATATCACCAGAGAAACTTTATGTACCACAAACAATGGCAGCATCTTACTCTCTATATGTCTTTCTTTCTGAATGGATGTTTAGACATGGTGAGCCAGAACCTGCTGTCTCAGAGGTGTGCAGCTCTGGAGCAAGGTGCCCAAGCTCTGGGCACGTTTATATATCTGCCCCTGATGGTGTCTCACATGCAGGACACAGAAGGAGTGGAGCTGCAGTCTCATATGCTGCTCACTCAGGCCATATTCCTGCTGACCCTGGCGGTGATTGCAGAGCTGTGGGCTCCCAATGAGCCACTAATTTGGATGATGAAGGCCTTTTTTTATATGGTCACAGGTTCTTGGCTAATGCAAATAGGCTTTATGCTATACAAACCCATCTCTGGCTATAAATGGATGGATGATGACAAAAATGACATAGAGTTCACCACCACTTTCTTCTGTTGGCATGTGTTTTTCAGTGCTATTTTGATGATCTGGATCTACAGCTTCTCTTTTGTGTGGTATCGCTACATTTTTGTTAATGCCGGAACCAGGATGTATCCAAGTTGTTCCCTGTTTTTTGTATACTCCAGGACATCTGGATGAGAAGCCATGGGAGGTGAGTGGCCAGAGAGGGATCAGGCATGCTGCCTTCTGAGGTCCTACCCTGTGACAGCAGACTCTGCTGGGAGGGGCATAGCCCCTCTCCCTTCTGGCTTCTCTCAGTCTTGTTTGCTGACTGGTGTGGTGAGGAAAGGCAGAAAACGAAGAATGACAAGCAACTATGACCTTCACTCTCAGCTCTCCAAGTGCTTCCCTCCCAGCATTTCCTGTCCTCAACTCCAGCCACAGCATCTCCTTATCCTGTGGCTCTCTCTCTATTTGTCACTCCCCTCCCAGGAGAATATTAAAATCAATTCCCCCATCCTGCCTCTGGGCCTTTTTATAACTATCCCTCACTCCACCACATAGAATATGTGCTGCTCATCATGTTTAGTACATGGTGATAATGTACCCATCATAGGATCCAGCTCCTTATCCATTCTGGTTCTAGGTCTCTTCAGTACTCATAGGAAATCAGAGTTATTTTGACTTTGAAGCACTCAAGGGACTGTTCTCGAGTTTTCTCCTTTGATCACTCTGTGATCTATCAAATGCGAAGTCAGAGCTTTGGAGACAGTTTCTTCTTCTGCAGGATCTAGTAGAATAGAGTGACCCCTCACATAGGGAGGGCTTCCAGGGCTTTCCTGAATGCAGGTTCTCCTCCCAGGCATGCAGCCCATTGAGCTTCATGGTTCAGAATTGAATTCCACGTAGTAGACTTGCCTGAACCCACTCTTTTCTGGTTCTCATGTATGATAAAGTGTGATGGCTTATTTATTCTGCATACTTTCCTTTTTAATCTTCATAACTATCCTTTATCAGTGAGTAAAACTCAAAAGGGCAAAGAAAGTGGCTTATGGTAGCCAGATGTTTTTCTTTGTCACAATATAGCTGGGTGTCAAGGGGTGGAAATCTGAGTAGGATCAAATTATTAGGGACCCTAGGGTAGGAATAATCTATCAAAGTTTTCTCTCTTGTTTTACAATAAAACATCTAGTTAGGATACAGAGGGGCTAGGGCAGGGATTCTAGAAGGTCATCATCCTTCTTGTTTCCTTTTTTCTTCTAGTACTTGGGAGAACTAGATGTACTCTTTGGTTCTTGACCTGTTTTTCCTTTCTAATTTTCTTGCTCAAATTTCAGAGCTGAGCATGGCGGTATACACCTGTAATCCTGGTACTCTAGGAAACTGAGGCAGAAGGATCACAAGTTGGAATGACTTTGTGAGACCCTGTCTCAAGATAAAAAATAAGAAAAAAAAGAGAACAGGTTCAAGCCCCTGTACTGAAAAAAAATTAAGGTACTTTTCTGATTGTCAAGGACCTTTGCCTTCTGGTTTGGGGGAAGGGGTGGTATGAGCTTTCTGAGTTTTGCAGAGAGGGGAGATGTTTCCCACAGTCATTTATGGGGGCTCAACCAAGTCTTATCATGAGCTTCATCCAACATGTGATCAGCTTCTAGGGACAGCTCACACCTGCGCCAGTTGGATCATCAGACTGGAGATGGACAGGGGTCCCTTGTAAGGAAGTAAAATAAGCTCAGCCTCCTTGTACCCCTTGGTTTTGGGGACCAGACTGGTGGAGCTCCACAGTGTTCCCTGTAAGCTCTGCCTGTTTCCTAGTTACGCCTGTGGATCCTATCCCTGTTTCTCTTCCATACCTTGGATATTATTTCTGGCCTTGGTCCAGCCTTGTAGTTTCTCTTTCCTTAGCCCAGTGGAACTTCCTTTAGAGCCTTGACTTTGGCATAGTAGGGAATCTGCTTTTCCTCTGTCTTCTTTCCTATTGATCTGGGAAAACTGTTTTCTACTTCACTCGATTTTCCCTTTTTTATTTCAAGAGTATATTTTGGATTTTTCTTAAATATAAAAATGGCTTTTTTGTTGGTATCACAATTCATTCTCATTATGAGGCAATATCTTTGACTAAGTAGAAGAAAAGTCATATATAAGGGTTGAAAGCTAAGGTCCAAACATGAATATTTCAAGACATTATTTTTCTGCAAATTATCTCTGAAAGTAAGAGATATCAAAGCCACTTGTTTTTCCTGAGATGTGTGCCATTTTAAGTGTGTGTGTGTGTGTGTGTGTGTGTGTGTTACTGGGGATTGAATCCAGGGTCTTTGCACTGAGCTACATCCCCAAACTTTAAAAAAAAATTTTGGAGAGGGCCTCACTAAGTCACTAAATTGCCAAGGCTGGGCTTGAAGTTGCAATCCTCCTGCCTCAAAAGTGCTGTGACCATTTGAGCTACTTATGAAGTTCCATTAAATACTGCATCTCTTTTAGAAAATTAACACCTTCAAGTGTTTTTATATGTTACAGCACATATCTTCTGGGTGAAATACTAAATAGTGGGAGGAAGCTACACAGAATTAGAGCTAAAATCTGATACAATGGTAGAAGAGGTGAGCCTGCTGTTTGGATGATGTGTTTTTCTTTCCTCCTCCTGTAATAATAGATATCGGCAATGTGGTGGTAATCCTGATCATTTTGCAAAGTACATAAAATCAACTCAAGATAAATCTGGGGGAAAACGAAAACTCCAAGTAAGGATAGCATTTGGAAATGAGGGTGTAATCTTCATCATCATCCACCAGAGGGCACCATCTCCTCGTGAGCCTGTAAAGGACCCTCACTCTCCCTTTGGAATTGATCTATGAATTTAAAAGAAGTGTATAATTGATATTGTGTAATAGGAGGAAAAGGTCTAAAGGAGCAGGGGAAGTGGGAGGGGTAGGGGAAAGGAAAGAAAGGAAAAGAAAAAATATGAGAAAAGAAAAAAATGGAAACAAAGTCTTGCAAATATGGAAGGGTGGAGGGGGTGAAGGGAGGGCAGGGGAAGGGGAAAATAAATAAGAAGCAAGATACTCATGTAATGGTACAAGATCCCAATGATGAATGTCACTGTATTTTATACCTAAAATGTACCAATAAACTTAATGGGGGGGGGTGAAGGCGGGCCAGGGAGGAGAGCAAGAGAAAAATGAACACCGGTGTTATCCAAGCAGCCAGTAAGCATTATGTGGATCTGTGTGGTGTTACATTTAGATGTGTAGACACGAATAAACACCCTAACTGAAGATAAAGAAATGGGGGAGGTGTGTGTGTGCGTGTGTTTGTACCTCAAAAATCTCTTGGTCACTCAGTATCTGGCCACCCATCCTATTTGGGGTGAAAAATTATTGAGTGAGGCTTGGAAAGACCATCTCTTACTATGGATGCCAGATAGAGTGAGCTGGGAGAGGTGGGAAGGGGCTTCTGGGCCACCATCCTTCCCACTGTTCCTGGCCCAGAAGCATGGGTTCTGAGCCACTGTTCCACCTCTCCCAGCTCAGGGGAGAATCCAATGAAAAGAAAAAGTCATGACAAGGCTTATTAAAACTTTTAACTTCATCTCCCTAATGAGTGTATAATTCAATCTTGTTATTTTACTGATTAGTATTTTTCTGATTCTAGTGTTGCACACCTTTCCTTGTGCT